GTTAGAATTTTCTTTCTTTTTTCTTTTTTTCTTTCTTTCTTTTTTTTTTTTTTTTTTGAGACGGGAGTCTGGCTCTGTCGGCCCCAGGCTGGAGTGCAGTGGCCGGATCTCAGCCTCACTGCCAAGCTCCGCCTCCCCGGGTTTACGCCATTTCTCCTGGCCTCAGCCTACGGAGTAGCTGGGACCACAGGCGCCCTCCACCTCGCCCGGCTAGTTTTTTGTATTTTTTAGTAGAGACGGGGTTTCACCGTCTTAGCCAGGATGGTCTCGATCTCCTGACCTAGTGATCTCCGGCCCGCTCTCAGCCTCCCAAAGCTGCTGGGATTACAGGCTTGAGCCACCGCGCCCGGCTTCTTTTTTTTTTTGAGATGGAGTTTCCCTCTGTTGCCCAGGGCTGGAGTGTTAATGGTGCAGTCTTGGCCTCACTGCAAACCTTGGCCTCCCGCGGTTCAAGTGATTCTCCTGCCTCAAGCCTCCCAAGTAGCTGGGAGTTTACAGGTGGTGTGTCCAACACATCTGGCTACTTTTGTTATTTTTTTTTTTAGTAGATCGAGTCTCCACCATGTTGGCCAGGCTGGTCTCGAACTCCTGACCTCAAGAATGTGATTCACCCGAGTCAGGCCTCCCAAAGTGCTGGGATTACAGGCATGAGCCACCGCGCCCACGCTACTTTCATTTTCAATAAATCCCTTAATCCTTCCTTGCTTTGTTTGTGTGTTTTGTCCAGTTGTTTTTTCAAGACCCAAGAACCTGGACACCCTCCACCGTTAACCATAGTTTGGCGAGACAGCCAGGATGGAAAACGTTAAGCCCAAAGTTTGGGATTATTTTCCCCTTTTCCTTTCCTTTGCTGCGCCCATAAAAGAATGCTCCGCGCTCTCTGCCTGCGCCGCTGCGCGTCTCCGTTCTCTTCTTTCTCTTCCTTTCCAAACCGGGACCCTTGGTGGTCAGCGCCAAACATGGAAGCAACTGCAGGTTTTTGGCCATGGCCAATGAGACTAAGGGTGTTCCATGTGGAGAAGCCTAACTACCACCTCCTGCGTTCGCTTAAGGAACCTGGGTCTTTTTCATTTTTTTTTTTTTTTTTGAGACGGAGGCTCGTCTTCTGTCGTCTGTTGATAATGTGTTGTGTTGATGTGCATCGGTGCGATGTGTAAGTGTGCGCGTTCTCGCGCTCCTGTGTCTGATGTGTGATTCTGTGTCTGTCTCGTCGCTCGTCTCGGCTCTCTCTTGTTGATATGTGTTGTTCTTAGTTATGGTTATATTCTTTTCTGTGTGTTGTCGCTCTCTTCAGTGTTGCTCCCTCCCCCCCGCCGCTCTCTTCTCATGTTTCTGTTGTGTGTTAGGGTTGATGTTGATAGCGCGCTGATGTGTGTCTATCTGAGTTGTTGCTCGCGTGCTCGATCGCGCTGTGTACCACGCCCTCGCTGTTTCTGCGCTCGTATGTATTGTGTGTTTTGTATGTTATGTAGCAGACGGGGTTGTGCGCAAGAGTCTTGGCCGGAGCTGGTCTTGAACTCCTGACCTCGTGATCTACCCACCTCGGCCTCCCAAAGTGCTGGGATTACAGGCGTGAGCTACCGCGCCCAGCCACAGATGACTGATTTTATCTCAAAAAATGAGTAACAATCATAACTGATATTTGTGTGCCAGGCATTGCACGAAATGATTTACTACATTTTTTTCTTTTTTTTTTGAGACGGAGTCACGCTCTTGTCGCTCAGGCTGGAGTGCAATGGCACAATCCTGGTTCATCGCAACCTCCGCCTCCTGGGTTCAAGCGATTCTTCTGCTTCAGCCTCCTGAGTACCAGGGATTACAGATGCGCACCACCACACCCTGCTAATTTTTTTGTATTTTTAGTACAGACGGGGGTTTCTCCTTGTTGGCCAGGCTGGTCTCGAACTCCTAACCTTAGGTGATCCACCCGCCCCAGCCTTCCGAAATGCTGGGATTACAGGCTTGAGCCACCGCGCCCGGCCATGAGTAGGTATTATTCTATTTCACTACTGTGGAGAGTGAACCATAAAGACATTAAAATAATTTGCCTTAAGTTCCTGTACCATATGAGTGGAACTGAGCTTCGCAGCCAGGCAATCTGACTTCAGAGTTCAACTTAACTTCAAGGCCCTTCGTAGTCAGAATCCTTTGTATGTGATTCCAACAGGTTAACTCCGTTAGGGCAGAGGGCTATTTTATGCTCAATATGGAACCCTGGATGGCCAACACAGCGTTTGGCACGTAAGAGGTGGTCCAGGGGCATTTGATGACCTCCAGGCAGTGGAGGGGCAGTCGAGGAAGACCAGGGCCCCAGGCGCCTACGTGGGCGGAATGCACAAGCTTGGGTCTTGGCGGCCGGGGCTCCACGTCCCAGCACTAGCCAACGAGGGCCTCGGCCGCGCGCGAATATTCGTGCCTTCCTCGCTGCGAGGCTTTGCGAATCTTGGCCACTAGCTAAAGGCGGGGTCGCCGGACCGGTAGCAACCGGAGACACTCAGCCCCGCAGCAGGAAATGCGTCTCGTGGCTTCCGGCGCGTGCAGATGACGCGCGGCTCGGGCTTCCGCCTTGGGGAGCGGGCGGCGGAGCCCGGGACGCGGAGACCTGGGGTCGCTGCAGCTGGGCGGCCCGCGGGCCCAGGGTGGGAATGCACCGCCGTGGGGTGGGAGCTGGCGCCATCGCCAAGAAGAAACTTGCAGAGGTGAGCAGGAAGAAGGCCGACCCACAACCTGCCCGTGACCCGGGCGAGACTGAATTCTCTCGGAGCCGAGTCCTACCCGTTAATCACCTCCCAGCAGAATCTGAGACGGGCTTCTTGGCCCCGGGATACAGAACGTCTCCAGCTTCCGGTGGATTGGCAGCGTTCCCAGATGCCTAGCCCTTTCTCCCACTTACCCAAGTTTTAACTACAAATGAGACTCTACTCACAAATCTACAGTCGTCGATTCTACTCCTTCACCCTATCCTTCTCCCTAAGAAAACCATTTAAGAGAAACCCCCCTCTTTTCATCCCAAAGCTGTGGCAGCACAAGTGGGGGACCCCAGCGCCTACTCTCTTGTTTTTCTTTTTTTTTTTTTTTTTTTTTTGAGACGGAGTCTTGCTCTGTCCCCTAGACTGGAGTGCAGTGGCGCGATCTCGGCTCACTGCAAGCTCCGCCTCCCGGGTTCACGCCATCCTCCTGCCTCAGCCTCCCGAGTAGCTGGGACTACAGGCGCCCACTACCACGCTCGGCTAATTTTTTGTATTTTTAGTAGAGACGGTTTCACCGTGTTAGCCAGGATGGTCTCAGTCTCCTGTCCTCGTGATCCGCCCGCCTCCGCCTCCCAAAGTGCTGGGATTACAGGCGTGAGCCACTGCGCGCGGCCCCCAGCGCCCACTCTCTTAACTCATGCTGGTCTCTTTGTCTGACAGGCCAAGTATAAGGAGCGAGGGACGGTCTTGGCTGAGGACCAGCTAGCCCAGGTGAGTCGGCTGGGGGGCCCCAGGCAGGGAGGGAGACCTAACAGGGCTGGCCAAAACACCTTGGATACGAATTTGATTGTGTAGATTGAACTAGAAATAGGGTGTTTGGCAAATTTTGATTTCTGAGCCGCTGAGATCTTTTAGGTGACTTGCTAATAACAATAATGGCCAACATATTTGAGTGATTACATGCTTGTAACGTCCCAGGCATTTGTCTATTTTCTTTACATATACTGTCTTGTTCAGTCCTCATTACAGTCCCATCAGAGGTGAGCAGGAAGAAGGCCGACCCACAACCTGCCTGTGACCCGGGCGAGACTGAATTCTCTCGGAGCCGAGTCCTACCCGTTAATCACCTCCCAGCAGAATCTGAGACGGGCTTCTTGGCCCCGGGATAC